CGCTCTTCAATTTGCATAATCGTGTCGCTCGGTTCAACCCTGATAACCGATGAATTTTTCTTTTCGCATATCATCGTTTATTAACCTTATCAGTGATGGGCAACAACGTGCAGCATACGGGCATATGGCAGTGGTGGGTGAAATGTGCGAATGAGAGCACGTATCTATCATTTTCTTCACACACAAATATGTCGCGAATCACGACTCGTGAATTTATGCACATATTGTTACAAATATATTGTAAACTCGTACATATATAAGTAGTATTTAAGGCAATTGTTGTGAAATTTATTCAAATACTATTGTAAACTGTGTATTTTCATCAGTTACCAATCACTGCCTGAAATTATTAACGTAACTGTCCAGGAATTGATGGGTAAAGACAAATACACTTCCTCCCGCCTAATAATACTTCAAAGTTATAATTTATTTAGCCGTAACAAAAGTTATCGTTATAATTATACTATGTAATAGTGTAAATGTGTAACAGTTATATACAGTCGCACCGTGTGACGATCCAAGTGAAAAATCGACTTTGGAGTATGTATCGTCGACATGAATTTCGCGGAACATTTCCGTACGGATTGCCCCCTTTTTGTACCCTGACGACCATATATTCACACCATCATACATCCTTTCTACGAAGCTCATCCACACCAATTTCGATTTTTTGTTACAAAAAAAAAAGATGATGTCACAATCATCCGGTACATCGTTATTCATTATTTCATTTACGTTTACGAAGGCCTCGTTTCTTTATAATTAATACAATTTTACATGAAACACGCAACGCTGTTTTAAAAATATATAATACGTTCGATGAGCATTTTCGGTCGGTCCGAGTATCCGAGGAAAGGGACGCGAAATACACGTCTTCTTTTATGGTTTACTAGTTTGCCAATTTGCCGATCGTTACGTAACAATTCTGTTCTCCAAGCTATCGAGTCAACAAAAAACCATAAAGCCTTATTAACTACGAGTAATAACATTCTTGGATTGATTCTACGCGTTTCTAGATAACAATCTTTAATAACAACTTTTTTCAACACTTCCAATTCAACGGGAAGACGAGATATACACTTTAACCGAATAAAAACTTGTCAGTCGAATAAAAATCTAATGTAACGTGGCTCGTTTTTGGACGAATCTAGAAGCTAATACAAACAACTCGCGGAAGTCGTTTTCATTCAAATTCCAACGCGTGAACGTTATGTAACAACAACATCCTGAAACCGTCGACGATCGACGAAAACAGCATTGAGAAGTACCGGCGTACACAGAACGATATTTTTAATGTATAAAAGAACAAAAAATTCAATTTTTCGTCCCACGTGAATATGCATTTGTTCGACCTCGATATCCGTTGAACGATATAAACGACCGCCTCGGTGAATTGAGGAAAATTCATCGTCTTCCCGCGTGCTTTTATCCAGCTCCGATCCAGATTCGTCGCTAGATCGCGTTAAACTTATCCTGTTCAGGGATTCGATCACCCTCGTCTCTGCTCGACCAAAATTGTCCGCTTCGAGCGATACATAAAGTTATTCAAATCGACGGATATGTCCAGCTTTCGTTCCGCGTTGAACGAAACTTTTACATTAAAATACGTTTGGCACACTCTCACTTACGCATCACATATACGCACACATACTTGTTCTTTACCTGTATGAAGGTGTATATACGATAAATGCAAAGAAAATACGAATGTTGTGTCGTTTCCGTAATCAACGACGCCAATCGTCAACGACGACTCGACGTGTCGAGTGACCGCGAATTCGATCCAACGATCGATGTCGAACAAGAATACGGTCTTTGATACCCGACTGAACCGTATAAGTACAGTCCCCGATCGATCTAAGTTGTTTAAAATGAAAAGGACAATGCGCCGACAAGTCCGTTCGATCATCGATCCGCGTGCGGTGCAGTAACTACTAACAATATGTTAACATTATGTTGAACGTTTGCTTAAACGCGCGATTATACGGAAATGTTGTTCGAAGAAGAAAAAAGAACAGAATCATTTGAAATACTAACGAAATTGGCTAAAGCGCGTAGCCATTCTGTTGACGGTTGGACTAATAGTCGGGCGCGGCTTTGGCCACCGCCGTTTTGGATTCAGTGAAACGCTAGTTCAACGTAAGTTTCCGAGATCAGGGATCTTATTCTCTGATCTTCTATAGGTTTGTTATCTCTAGCGTTACTTCGAGTCGTCAACAGAGTCGCTTCGTACTCTTTCTCTTTAAACAGTTGAAAGAAACAATAATATTGTACAAGTTCCATAAAAATGTCACCGATTTCGCTCTACAGCTGTGACGGTACTTTATCCTAACGCGACTCTACGCGATCGGTTGAAAGAAGTTGGATCGAACATGGAAAATACATGAAACAGCTACGATAAAATCAATTAGAAACTCGAGAGACATCGCCGTATCATCGTTGGAAGTTCTCTAATCCTCGAAGATACAGAGACAATGAAATTCGATGAAAGGATTAGTTGTACATCCTGAAAGTTTCGTAATTGAGGAATTGTCCCTGAGCGTATGATTGATCTTGATCCAACTATGCACATCAGAGTAGACCAAAAACGTCTCGACTCGTATTGTCAACACATTACCGACTGCTATTTAATAGGTTTATTAAATAGTTCAATCACAGTAGAAACTTACATTCGTTGAAAAATAGCAAGAACTCTAATAGAATAACGTGACAATTTCTTCTTCAACTCTAAGGATAAGTTAACAGGTTTCTCGTCTATAAGCACTGAAATTTAAAAGTCTATTAATAGGCTATTTGTCAGTAAAGTGTTAACTTGTTTGAGAATTGGACGATGAATGACATGGTACCCGAAGTTCGGTCCCAACGATTTTCAACAGCCTCGTATCTACGTAATTCCCGCACGGTTAAAAAAAAGCAGGAAATAAAATTATAGAATACTATAATTTCAAGGAATTACAGTCTTCATCCGTGGAAACGTGTATCCTCTGATTCGCGCTTTTCGCAAGCCAGTCACCCTAGACCAGTTGTCGAAACGATTGCAGAGTTCGTAGTTGCAGGAACACGATTTCTTATACCGTTACACTTTGTTCGATCCTACTATCGACTTAAAACGCCAACGAAAAATTCCCCAAGGACAGACAAGTTTCCACGAATCTTCGAACAATCGCGCTTAAAATAGGAATGTGCGCCATGATCGTCGACAGTTTGCCTACCTAAACTTCTTCAGCACGTTGACTGCCAGACTAGAAAATGTCTCGCAGAATCGAAACCTCTTAAAATGCGACGATACAGTGATCAATGATTTGTCGCGAAAGTTTCAATTTAAAAGATAATTTAAAAAATTCAATACCAGAACCTGTTTAATTTTCATCTCCAGGTTCAAAGACACAAGCTCGGTGTCGTCACTGTATCGATCAAATGGCAGTCAATGTGTTAAATCGTTCGTAATCGCGTCGCTCGAATAATGCTATCGATCACAGAAACGCCTGTAAACGCGAATAATGTCCAGTAGATCGCCGCGAAGGATTCTAAACTGCGTTGTTCTCCTTTCTTCTATCTCTATTTTTCTCACGAAGAACGCGAGAGGCATTACTCGTCAGAGATAAGTATCGATCGTATCCGCGGAATTTCCGCACGGAAATCGCTCGTTCCGTCTCTCAAACCAAACGATCTATTTCGTATTGTCGCGAACGAACGATCCACGCGAATTATGTATCTCGATGAATTTCCTTCGATCGGTGCGGCGAACTTGGAACTCGTTCTCGTATGTCTATCGTTTAAAGACTTAAATAATAATATAATACGGCGTTAAATATTTAAATTTTCTGGGGTAGTGACAAACGGAGGACCGCTTGGTACCCTCTCACGTATGCGAAACGGCTAAGACTTACCGATGGGATAATAAATACCATATATTTAGAAACTACGTATTATTGCGTGGATAGGAGGCGAAACGGGGACAGATTTAATACCTGCTTTACTACGATCTTCGTTCGATGAACCTACGATCTCGTTACTTCACCGGTGGAAGATAAATAGAACGCCTAGTTCACTGTTGCCGGCGAAATGCCTGAAAAGGTTCAACCTCATTGTTCGTTTCTAGTACTATTATAAATTTTTCCGAACCTGAACTAATTGTATTATGAATCGAACTTTTATCCCGAGTGTTTACAAAATCTACTTAACCCAAATGATCTACTTGTAAACATTTTTTATAGTAATTTATCTTACACCAGTCTAATAAAAATCGAGATCGTCCGATTCCGTCGCCGTTCAGTCCCCTCCTTCTCTCCCGTAATCGACGATAACATTATTGCGTCTAACGCAGGTTCCTTAAATTGCTAGGTAATCGTGAGCGTGTTTTTCGACCCGATCGTAAGCGTTCATTAGGCCTCGGATGTATCCCCATCCAAGTGACAATAGGGGGATCGAGGGTCGCGATCACGGTCTTTGGCAGTATGAAGATGTATGTGTACTTAAACGGGGAACGGATGAACGGCTGACACGATATTACGGCCAACGTTTAATACTGCATTCACATCTTTCCGGACTCGAAGTCCGACACCCTGGGGCTCACGCCGTTCAGCTCGTCCTGGATCTGTTGGAGGTTCTTGCCCTTCGTTTCCGGCAGCACCATCACCGTGAACACCACGCTGATCACGCAGAACACAGCGAACAACCAGTAAAGCGTGTAATTGCCGAACGATTCCGACAGCGTGCCGGAGAATTTGGTGATGAAGAACGCCAGCAACCAGCACATGCACACGGCGATACTGGACGCCTTCGATTTCACGTTGGTCGCGAGCATCTCGCCCATCATCGTCCACGGTAACGGTCCCCAACCGAGGCAGTAGGTCGCGATGAAGATCACCAGAGACAGGATCGGAAGGATCGAGATACTCGACACGTCCGAGTGCAGCGCGTCCTTCAAATAGAAGTAGGTGCCCAGAGCGCACTGCGACATGAAAAGAACGTTTTCAAATGGAGAACCACCGGGGGACCATTGGATCTCATGAAAAAGGAGTGGTGTGGTTGGATGCTTTTCTACTCTGGGAATCGTAGATCCTTTCCTGAGCAAGTAATCCTGGGGATAGCGGACTTTTAGAGAAATTGAACAAGATTGACATTCAGAATCCCGAAAAAATTCAATTCGATCTTCTTCCGACGAGTTCTCGTGGAAATTCATATTTATTTGGGGTCGAGCTTCCGAGGGGAATCGAAGTTGAAGCTGTCGCGAAGCTTTCTCGAATTCGGAATCCAGTGGCGTTAATATTGTCAAGACCTCGGATCACACTGTTCAAGGTTAATCTTCCAGAAGTCGCCTACGAATTTCGAATTTAATCTTCAGAAACCACACTCCACTTCGGTATAGGTAAACACCACCCTAGTGGGAATTTGGATTTGGAATTTTTTATGATCAAGAACTCGAAGGAAATAAACGCAAATTACACTTATATTTTTTACGGAAGAATTTCAGAGTAATCTGTCAAATTCAACAGAATTTCCATGCAGTAACGATTTATTGGTTACGCACCGCGCGCAATCCGTCAGCGAACGAAAGCGAAAATATCGTCGATTGTACGAGGCGACGATTGATCGATGAATTACAAAATTAGCGCGAATGGTAATTAACTGAATGCCGACTGAGACGGAGTTTTTCTTATCTACCTTTGTTCTCTTCGACGATCGCGTCATCATGAAATTAAGATGGCAGACCACGAAGCAACGATCCGTCGGTTACGTGACACGAGCCTTTGGTACACGTAACGAGGCATTGACATTGACTACCCGGCCACCGCCGCCGCCGCTGGATCGGTGCAACAATCTGCGATGGACAATTAAACGCGACCTCATAATTCCGGATGGATGAAATCATTGTCGGAACGACTAACCACGCGTGCCTGTGTGTACGGAAATTTTCTGCCACGATTAACTGGAAATTACGATTAAGAACGAGGAATGCAACAGGAATCGGTGGATGTAGAATTTGGACCGATTAACCTTCGAAGGACGGGCGGGTTTTTCCATAAGTTTTTATATTTTCGATTTGGAACTTGTATATAGAGTGGATTCCGTTTATCCGAGGTTAATCGAGGCAGCCGTTTATTTGGGACAAAGCTCCAAAAATAAAATTTGATCGAACGTACTCTGAAATTTATTGCAGATCGAACACTGTCGAATCGACAAGGCGATGGGGGCGTGCACGATTGTTGCATAATATTCCCGAAGGAATTTTTTTTCCGTGTGACATAATGGATCCAAAGATGTTCTTTACGTGTCAAGTTCACAGGTTTTCGGGAGAAAACGCGCGTGAAGAAAATCAGACGAAGGTCTAGAGGAAACGACCTCGACGCATCCGTGTGCACGGTGCTGCGAGCCGCTTGGAATGCGGCCGTTGCATCGGGAGTGCATCCGCGCGCGAGCGAACGGACTTGCACGTTCGAGAGGTTACATAAATCGATTTGAATAGCCGCGACGGCAGCAAGGCCGCGATCGATTCGTTCACGGTTAATTTCGCAATACCCGTGAAACTTACGCGATATGGACAGTGGATCAAGGCTGCGAAAAAGTGCGTTCATCCGCGATTCGATACGATATCCTTTCGTTGATCTTGCACCTGCGCTTGTTTACGATTGACGAAATCTTGCATTTTTTCCTTCTCTTATTTTAGATGTATTTTTGGTTCTTACGACCGATTCTTCAATTTCGTGCTATACTTTATTCTGTGATTTCGCTGGAAATTGGAAGAATATTTTGTGGAGAATCAATCGTGTGATTTAGGAGCAGAAGCGAATTTAAACGTGGATACCTGTTCGATCGCTTAGGACCCTGTTAATATTTGGTAGTCTATCTAGACTCTAGAGTATATCTTTAAGTGCTGTTTGTACCTGGAAGGCATGTTTCAAGTCCACGGAATCTAACGTAGATTGCAGATTTTCTGCATTTCTAGTGGGCAGAATTGTGCAGAAATCAAGAGCATTATTACCTTAATAATGATTAATATTCCTAATGTATTCCTAACCACTTATAGTCGTTAACAGGAAAAACGATTGTCAGTTGAATGTTAAGTCAGTCTACTAATTCTACGACTGATCCAGTTCACGAACGAGCATAACCCATCCAGTACATAAATCTCTGCGACACGATGCAGCTACAGCTACGTTATATTATAAAATTAGATACCTAGGTAGAAGAAGAAATATTGAGGAAGAAATTACTAAGGAAATCCCTGGACTTCCCTTGCATAATCAAGATGTTAAAAAACAAAATGCAATAATATAAACTGTTTGAGAAAAAAATATTGCGAATGAAGTGTTGCATTAATGCAACATCGGTCTGCAATGGGTTAATCGGTGTGTTTTTGTATCGCCGCGTTACGTTACACTCCCACGTCCCGATGCAACGCGTCGTCGTCATCGCAATCGTGTTCCCGTTCACCGAAACGCCAATTAAACTTTCGAGATCGCTGAGAAAATTACAACCCCCTTGCTCGGTTGCTTCTCCCGTGCTGCGCGGAAAAACAATATATTTTCATCGAGTGTTCGAACGTCCGAGAACAACAGGGGGATTAATTAATTTCAGATTGAATTTCGAGCGCGTTCAACTGATTTTATGTCTGCTACGACAAACCTGATACCTCGAAGAATTAATCGATAATGGAGGAATAAAGAAGACGAATGATACGAAACGCCAATTTTCGTTTTTGAGATTTGAAAATGATGATTTGATTCGAAATTAGTGTAAAACTCGTCTTAAATTCAATAGTTCGAAAGTACTGATTATGTCTCGTTGAATTCTTAGTTCCAAAGTTACCAGGTTTTCACACCTTTGATTTGCTCTCCCCTAAACTTTGAAAAGTATGACCTAATCCATTCTAGTTCTAGGGTGTAGAGATTAAAATTTGACATCTCGAGACACTTTCAATCTACCAAAGAATCCTTGATCGACAAAAAAGCAGTACAGCACCGTTCGATCGATCGCATCAATTCAGCCAAAGAGCCTATATACACCCTCGATCGAACAATTAGTTCAACGTTGACGAATAATAGACATCACGAACTCTCGATAGATAAACATGGGGGTGGGGGGTGAAAGGAATCCAGATCTGTAAAAGATGTCGGACTAGCACACACTCACCAAAGTCACGATTTCTCCGATACCGGAGATAATGAGCAACAGCTTCCTGCCAAGCCTGTCAACGACAACAGGCGTGACACAGGAGGCGATCGTCTGAACAGCACCGACGATGATGGTCGCGACCGAGGTCGAGAGGGACGTGCCAGCGCTGATGAAGATTCCCTCCATGTAGAACAGGACCACGTTAATACCGCTCAGCTGTTGGAACATGGCTAGAAGGCTGGTGTATACCATCGCCTTGAAGTTCGCTTTCACGGTGAACAGATCCATGATGCTAGCTGCTCTTCCACGATTGTCCAGGATTTATTATTATTTCGAATAATGTTCAAACATGTGTTGAAATTTCTCCTGATATTATCCCAATGATTAGTTGAACCATCGATATCTTGGTACATCCATTACTATCTACATATTCACTGTAATGTTGCACTAAAGGAACAATAATTATTCTCACGCTCGTTCTTTAATGTAATATCAAAGGTGCCTCTAATTAAAATACTACAACAAAAGGTGTTTCTCCGAAAACATTTCTCTAGTACTGTCACTCATCCATTTGAAATTTCCATTATTCTACAAATTCATAAGCCAACTACAATCATAAATATCGTTCATGAATAGAACACTGATATTATCAGCGTGTGGCCAGATCGCGGTCGATCTGCTCCGGAAAAACGAATGATCGTAGGCGCCGCGTGACACTTGACACGAGAAAACGTGACCGTTAATACATATAGCTCTGTTGACTCGCGCGATTCACCAGCGTCGCGTCAGGAAGGCACGTTGTAGGATCGTCTGTCATTGGCGAATCAAGGAACGACCTTACCCTCGTCATCGTTCTCCGAACGTGACCCGAACGCCAGATTGCGATACCACCACGCGAAACATCGACGACCGATCCCGCCGCGTTATCGTTTACTCGTAGCGATTTCGGTAAAATTCCTATATTTCCAAGGGGAGATCGCGGGCCGACTTATCGCGCGATTTCTTCCATTTATTCTTCTCTTTCTTTCTGCCTTCTTTCGCTATCGAACCGTTACAGGCGCCGATTAGCGATTGGAAAAATCGGTTGGGATATTATTACAATTTATCGGTTATCGATTCGATTTCAGTGGGTTTTAAGAATCTGCCCCGACCTTATTCCGCGGGATATCGAGGAACGATCCGGTTTCGACGACCTCGATGAGGTCACACGGCTCGGCCAAGCCTCGACAGGCGTCGACGTTACGAGGATCGTTCACGTGTCTTTGACGGGCGAAGTGTACGAACGTGTCCTCTCGTGTGGACGTTAACGCGATTAGCTGGCCATTATTCTGGTCGCGAGAATCTCATTCCCGTGATTCACGACAGGCAGAAATACATAGTATACATATAAGATGGTGGTGAAGAAATTGGTCGCGTGCCCAGTCGTGTGTCTTGTCGATAGGCGATCCATACACTTCCATAATTACTATTATAGTTTTTGTTATCTCGTAAGACGTTTCTTACTACAATTCCAAGTTACCTGCATTTCGTCAGCTTCCTTCTGGACGCTAGCAGGAGGCAAGCTTCGGAGTCTGGCCAACGAAGCGATCGCCTCTTCTCTCTGGCCGATCTTCAGCAGGTAGTACGGTGATTCCGGCATGGTTATGAAGCAACCGAAGAATATGATCGGCAGGATCCCGCAGAGGATCCATAACACCGTGTACGACACGTATGGGCCGATCGCATACGAGTACAGTAGACCAAACGTGATGAACAGCTGCAGAAAGGATCCAAGGGCTCCTCTGACCGATGTCTAATCGAACGAGAAATACGATCGAGGGTTATTTCTATTGTTCTCTCTGGCTGCGTTTCGATCGTATATAAGAAGGATATTTACCTCCGCGATCTCGCCGCAATACATAGGAACGACCGTGAAGGCGAAGGCCATAGCGAAACCGAGAAACACTCTGGCCACGCACAATTGGATCACCACCTTCGCCGAGGCGATTAGAATCCATCCGATCGTGAATGGCACTACGGCGGACAGGAGCGTCCGTTTTCTGCCGAATCTACGATTCACGAAGAAATACGGTGGTTAGAAATGAGGAGCAAGCGTGGCGATACACCGTAATACCATAAATTGGGGTGACTCGGTTAGGGGTAACTTTATCCCAAAGATAGAAAATGATTTACGTGAAATACCTGTTAAAAATCAACTCAACTTGGCTGGAAAATTTAAAATGATCATTTTCTGACTTGGGACAAAGTTAGCCTGACTGAGTAAAAGTTGTCCCAACCTATGGTACCTCTCTGTTTCTTCCAGTAATTAGGAATACAGTGGGACTATGGTCGAGAGAGGTATTTGCTTTAAAAATTAATTGCTGTTATCTATCGTTGTATGACTGATTTATGAATACCTATATAGGGGATACGAAAAAGAGAAACTAAGGAAGAGTGAAATATACAATAGTTTGATTCTAGGAGACATTATTTTAGATTCTTCTTAACTAATTAGATTGCCACGTGAGTTTCGATGAGAATCCATTAATTAACAAACGTACTTCTCTGACATCCATCCAGCTACGAAGCAACCGATCATCGCTCCTATGGCTACCAGAGAACCTATCCAGGAGTTTTCGTCTTGGTCGATTGGCCTTCCAAGAGGACTGTCCTCGGTATTTTTCATCAGTTTCGGCAGCACGGGACTCGTCCATCCCAACATAGCGCCGGCAGCCATGGTGCACAGATTCGCTGAAATCACAGGTCAATCCCAACATTAATATCATTTTATCCCCCCGCATGTTTCACTGTTGATTCCTAAACGACACCTTTTATTCGACTGGGAAACCAGGGTACATCGGAAACTGCGATTAACAATATTTTTCTTTGCGTTGGAGTAATTCCTTTCCTCGATTTTTATGAAAACTACGGAACTTTAATAAACACAAAAAGAAACAACGAGAGATCAACGTTGTTTATTTCCGTTGTAAATGTCCACTAATACGCCCAGCAACAATGCCAAATATACAAGTGCAACTTTGTCAACAGTCTAACCGCGTTCGTTCATTCCGTTCAATTACATAATTCCAGTTTGATAATGGCGACCAACCCACACAACACGGCTGTCAATCATTTCTCGGACGATCGAGAGACTATGCAGCTGAGATTATTTCGCTATCCTTATCCTTTGGGAGGATAAAATATCATTAAGGTCTGATGCAAGACGATAACAGTGACATTAACACCGAATATCACCTGTTTCGATTGCTTCTTATCCGCTCGTCAATCTCTTAACAGTTTTTCTTTTCTTTTTTTTTTTGTTTGGTTTTTAATTCGTCGTGGAGGTTGGAAATTGAGATTTAATTGCCTCGATGTAAAATAAAGTTCTCTCGATTACGCGCGAAATAATTGGTCGTACGAAGCGCGATAAGGTGAACGCGAGTAAATGATAACTGTCGAGCGTCAGATAAGAAACTATTCGATCGAACAAAAAAGATTATGTATAGTCCTGTAGATCATCTACGTTTTACATATTGCAATGCTTCGAAATTTCTTCTTTAACGTCGAAAAAAATTATTTCTCGCGACTAGCTAACTCAAAAATGTTCCCAATGCGTGCACCTCATTTGTATTTTCACGAGAAAACCGCTGAAAGATGATTGTTTAGATGTGGCGTATACGTCGCAATGGGCATTACAGGGTTAAGTATTTTATTACATTAAGAATAAAATAGAACACTCGTTGCATTTAATGAAAGTTTAGTCTTTTCTTGTATTTCAAAGAGATCTATGAGGTATAAATGCATAAAACCCACATAATAATAATAATAATAATAATGACAATGACTTTCTTGCACTGCACGAAAAGATTATGTGCTGAATTTGAATCCAAAGAAGCAAATCTAGTGCAGTTCAGGACCAAATAGACCGAAACCGAGAGAACGCAGAAATCACTCGCGGAATCGGAGCGTGCGCGCGCGCGCAATAGGTGCGACAGATTCCGTGCCGCGATATCTTTATGGACCGACAACCGAGAACAGATAAAAACCGATTCGTGTTTTCCAATCGCGGTGCTCCGCGGACGTGTAAGTCGGTCCTTAAAACGCCAGTTACGGAGAGCATTGTCGTAAAAACGGCGGGTAGTTCATTATTCAGCGTTCAAGGATCGAAGCCGAAGGCGTTTCCGCGAGCGAAGAGACACTTTGCATGATTGCCAATTCCAGAGGCGAGACTCAAGGATCTCTCTCGGCACATCTGCTGATACGGCGAACGCGGAAAGAATTGAAAGTAAAGCGACGTCCGAATTAAGTAAATTGATCGAGAAAAGTGGAGAATTGCTCGTGTAAAGTGATCGATTCATTTTAGATTCGGTAAATTCAACATTTTTTACACGTTCACTCTCGTGGTGGGTCATCGATGAGCATTAACGCTGGAACTATCGATGATGAACGTATATTTGTTTCTACCGGAACGATAAATATGCCGTATTTTCGAAAATACACACATTTATAAATTAATACTTTGCTGGCGGAAGGGTTTTTGTGTTTACAAACATACAACGTTCAGGTGTTTTAAAAATATTCAGAAACTACTACTTAACTTTTGTTTGTCAAACTTTACATATAGGAAAAGCGATTTTTCCTCTGAGTTTTTGCTCTGAGCTTCTTCATTTTCACAATGGAATAAATGTTGTGAATGACCTGAGAAAATGCATTATTGTAACATTTTAATAACCGTTATAAGAATGTATGTTACCAGTTATTGCGACTGCTTTGAGTTAAATTGTACGAAAAGTTCAATTTCCTATTTAGACAATTTCCATTACGTGGACAGTCTTGTAAAAAGTAATCAGGGTAGGATGTTGATTCAAATAATGAATGTACAAGCTCGCACGTAAAAAGGTAAACAGTTATTTTTTATCAGGATGCTGTCTCGGTAATGGAAACTTGTTAAACTGATAGAATTTGATAATCAGAAATTCATTAGCTACGCTGATATGGATTTTATCAGTGAATCTAGTGGTTTACACCTTAAGCGGAATGTACAAGATTCGTATTAACTTACGAATCCTGAATCCTGTGATTTTATGATAATCTGTGTAATAAAATATAATAAATTACTATTTGCACAATTTGACCTGCGATTCAGGTAGAGTTCCATTATTTAAGATTGTCGTCAAAATAATCGTCGGAGTTATTAAGAAGTACAACGGAATATCTAGTAAGAAATAAAGTATACCATCTACTTAGTACTCGACAAAGTGTTCTCATTAGGAATTCTCAAAGTAACGAAGTGGAAAATCAACTTAAATATCCGGTACTTTGAAGGTTGTTAAACGACACTTCAAACGGTAACATATTCTCAATGAAGTGGAAGTAGACTTAGGTAGTCAGACATCTACAGGGCGGCCGATTTAAGTGGAACTGCTTCTACATATCTTTCTCCACGTCTCGACGTACGTCTACTATCAAAACTCTTTCGTGAAAAAATGTACAATGCAACGTGACGACGAATCCCGCAGGTGAAAATATATTTTAGGTGTTCTATCGAGTGCATTTCGCAGCCAGAGAACTCAAACATCGCGTTCGAAAAACGCTTGGACAGCGAACGGCGGCGGGGATAGTCAAACGCGTCACGTTGCGTTTAAGTAATACCGGGTCTTTACGTAATCCCGGCAAGATTACTCTTATATCATTCTATCGCGTGCGGCACCGGAACAAAAATAAAAATAATCTCGTGCGTTCCGGCGAATCGCGTTCCTCGCGGCGACACGGGGACAAAAAAAGCATTCCAGACGCGTCGTTCCATCGAACCGATAAGCAATGCGTATCGATGACGTGTATATCCGACTAGCGTTGTCAGTGGAACTCGAATAAATAAAGAGTGTCAGGCTAACTGCGAAATCGTGGCAACGAGAGTGCAATTAATCGAACGATTAAATTTGATTACGATGCGACGCGAAAAATAAACACAAAACAAAATAGGACAATGAACGAGGAAAGACAGGAAATATACGAGAGAAATTCTTTCGATTAATAGTTCTCTTCGTTACACGAAAGAATTCGTTCCTTTTGACTTGTTGAAGTAATTTTTACTCGCGAGCATGATTTCCGCGTTTTTTTTTTTGTGTGTAATTACGTAGTCGTGACACTAATTGCGAGAAATAAAAAAACTGTCACCTAATGGGTTAATTGACCGCCAGGAAGTTGGATTCTTGCACTGTCAGGATTCGTTCGCGGTACGATGGTAATTATTTTCTCGAGATCCGATTGAGGCTGATGTTTACGTTGTATTTAATGTTTGCGCTAAAACGGTTTGTGAGTCGAGAACGGCACTAGCGATCTCTTATAGACTCCGTAACGGAGTTGAAATATTACGTTCCGATCCCATTCAGCTTTAAAAAAAACGAGGAGTCTTGTTTCATTTAATTCGAATGAATTGTTCGAAACATATTCGTCCGCCCTCTACTTTGAATAATTACAGTGGAACTTGAAAGCGGGAGGAAGCTTTTTCACCGTTCTGTATTGTCCGAGTGACTATTGCGTTAACATTCATTTGATTAAATTCACTCCATATAATGATACTTTATACGTTGTAATAAATGCACCGTGACCATTATTAACTTCACCAGGATAAAATGGAGAAGAGCCTTTGAGGCTCTCAGTACTGAATAGCTGAAATTAATAATTCTAAAGTATTTCACTTTTTTCGAATCTGTTTATTTTTATATTAATAAAACAGTAACATTAATTTTTTTTATTATTTATTGCATATATTATTATATTTTTAATATGAAATAATAAAAGAGCCTCAGAAGCTCCTTCATCCGGATGAAGGGAAATATACCCTACCATTCAGAAATAATTGTCTTCCTTAATTCTACAGTTGACTTTTGAAAATTTCAATAAACAATCGTGCATTTTGTTTTATTTTAAACTGATCAGACCAGAGGCAGGAGGACGGAAAAAAGTAATGGATGACTCGTAGAGGAGGTTGGCACATAACGACAAAGAGGAATCTCCTCCAATCAATCCAGTTCCATTGACACGTTGACTGGCACAGTGAAAAAGGCAGTACGTAACGAGACATACTTTATTTTCGTTTTGTCTGCGTTTCAAATGTGCGTTCAAAAATGTAATCTAGTATTAATTTGACACGAAAATGTTGTACCAGTATTGACATAATCCAGCCTCTTTGCAATGTACGTGTCACATATATTTGGATGATGTAGCATTCAAACTGTTAGTCAAGGTCCTCGCGACGCTCTATCGCGGCCAGTTTCCTTTTAGCCTCGTTTTTCGACCAGATAGGACCACGCGAACGACGACGACTCCTGCCCTCGCGGAAACGGTCGTAAATCATTCGTCTAGAACGCAATAAATCTGATCAGGGGGGAGGGTATCAATCCAGATATCGTTTTTCTCGCGAACCGGATTACGCGTCGTGTCGTCCACAAACACTCCGGGGTTTGCGTGCACTTCAGATTACGGTAAACCGTAAGTTATCATCCTTAAATCACTCGAAATCCGTATCTCCGTTGCAATTGATAAAATACCGATGACACCGCTAAACCGGCTACCATTCGGCTCTGTAACGCAAGAGGGATGGTGTGACTGAGGATGGATTACATATTTTGATCTCGTAGCTTCTGATCGAGATTGGATGGATTACATCGTTTGATCTTGTAACTCCTGGCCGAGATTTAAACGGATTATCATGGCTGATAACATGCATTTTCTGTAGAATAAATTCT